TTTATGACTACATAATATTTGTGTGTGTGTGTGTGTGTGTGTGTGTGTACAACAACTTTTTTTATTGAGGTATAGTCAGTTTACAATACTGTGTCAATTTCTGGTGTACAGCACAATTCTTCAGCCATACATGAATATACATATATTCATATTCATATTCTTTTTCACTGTAAGCTGCTACAAGATATTGAATATATTTCCCTGTGCTATACAGTATAAACTTGTTTATCTGTTTTATATATATCAGTCAGTATCTGCAAATCTCAAACTCCCAGTTTATCCCTTCCCACCCCTCTCCCTACTGGCAACCACCAGTTTGTATTCTATGTCTGTGAGTCTGTTTCTGTTTTATATATAAGTTCATTTGTTCTTTTTTTTAGATTCCACCTACAAGTGATATCATATAGTATTTCTCTTACTTTTTCTGGCTTACTTCACTTAGAATGACATTCTCCAGGGCCATCCATGTTGCTGCAAATGGCATTATGTTGTTGTTTTTATTATGGCTGAGTAGTATTCCATTGTATAAATACACCACAACTGCTTTATCCAGTCATCTGTTGGACATTTAGGTTATTTACATGTCTTGGCTATTGTAAATAGTGCTGCTATGAACATTGGGGTGTAGGTGTCTTTTTGATTTAGGGTTCCCTCTGGATATATGCCCAGGAGTGTGACTGTTGGGTCATACCGTCAGTCTATTTTCAGTCTTTTGAGGAATGCTCTATACTGTTTTCCACAATGGTTGCACCAAACAGTATCAGTGTAGGAGGGTTCCCTTTTCCCTACAGCCTCTCCAGCATTTATCATTTGTGGACATTTGAATGTTGGCCATTCTAACTGGTGTGAGGTGATACTTCATTATAGTTTTGATTTGCATTTCTCTGATAATTAGTGATATCGAGCATTTTTTTCATGTGCCTATTGGTCATTCATTGAATACCACATCTTCTTTATTTATTCACCTATTGGTGGACACTTAGGTTGCTTCCATACCTTGGCTATTTTAAGTAAGTTTGCAGTGAATATAGGGGTGCACATGCTTTTTCAAGTTAGTGCACATCACTGGAACACATTTGTTCCTTTCTTCTTTAGTTGCTTTCCTTGTGATTTAATGACTTCCTTTAGCATTATGTTTGGTTCCTTTTTCTTTATTTTTGTGTATCTATTAGGTTTTTGGTTTATGGTTACCATGAGGTTCACATACATAGCAGATGGTTTTGGTGTTTTTTAGAAAGAGTATGTATTCATTTTATTTTATGTTTATTTTTTTATTGAGTTATAGTCAGTTTACAATGTTGTCAGTTTCCAGTGTAGAACACAATTTTTCAGTTATAAATGAACATATATATATTCATTGTCACATATTTTTTCACCATGAGCTACCAAAAGATCTTGTATATATTTCCCTGTGCTATACAGTATAATTTTGTTTATCTATTCTATATATACATGTCAGTATCTACAAATTTTGAACTCCCAGTCTGTCCCTTCCCACCCCCTCCTATCTGGCAACCACAAGTTTGTATTCTATGTCTATGAGTCTGTTTCTGTTGTATTTATGTTCTTTTTTTTTTTAGTATTT